TCACTATTTATTGGTCATTACCATATAAGGCAATGTATGAGATAAACTATAGATTAGAGACTTTATCCATAGATAAAATCCATGGATAAGTAAAACCGGTAATAAAAATCCGATTACTGTATCAAATGGTAGGTTACCAAAATTTAGTACAACCACACAGGAAAATATCAGGAATTTTCGCGTGTAGTTTTCTATGAATAGCCATAAGAATTACATAAATTACGATAAATTACTTCTTAATTACTTACATACACAAAAGACTGGCGAGCACAAAGCCGAAAAGAAACTACCCACACTAAAATTATAAAAAAATGTTAAGTCACATGAAGGTATTTCTTTGTTATGAACCTGTCAAACCCCACAATACCTAATTACTTACGGAAACGAATTTTAGTTTGAAGTGTTTTAATTGCGCAATTTTAGTGAAACCGTTACAACCATTAACAAGGTTCAAATTATAGTGAAACAAAAACTTTATTCTATAAGTTATTAATGTTATTATACAGGTTCTGCGTACTGTGTACTGTGGCAAGTTCGAAATATTGTACATATATTGTTTTCATAAGCTAATAAAATTATGTAATTATTATCTATCAATTACACATGTGTAAATTACTTATAACAGCTAGACACATAAAAAAAAATTTAAATAGAAAATTTCGTTCGAAGGCCGTAACCTGGGGCATCGTGCGCTTTGAATTGCTATCTTGCTGCATACTTGGAATAACTATTTATTTACAAAGAACAACCCCTTTCTCTTCTTTTCAGGGGAATCTGCCTTTTTTACGATACCAAGTGTCGGAACAAACAAGTCGTGCGATGGTGGTAAGAGGCACGCCTGTGTATAACGGTGGCAGTGCCAGTCAGATCTTTACTCAAAGATTTGAGGGGCACTTTCACTGCATCCGTCACCCTCCCATGCCTGTAATTTCACCAGCACCCTTTAAAATCGGAACACAATGATGGTCAATGGTGGCAGAAATAAGTAAGGTAGACAGTATCTGTCTGTCTGTCCTATGAAACAAATATTATTTGAATAGATTATTAATAAAGACCTTGACGTAGCCGGTGGATTATTAGAAATCTAATTTTCATGCATAATATTAAAATTACGCAAATGGATTAACCTTGTTTCGTATTTAAATCCCCTTTTCGTTTGAATCCTATCCACTCTATTGCTATTAGAAGAATTATAATATTCCATTATTACGATCGTATCTGTAGAAAGAAAATATTACGTTATATAAGCGTAATATCAAGCGGTTAGAGTGAAATGAGTCTGGGCGGGCCACGAGAGAAGAGCTAGGCGCGCACTTAAAACATTGTTCCTTAGTGGCGTAGAACGGGGAGAAGTGGAGAGAGAGGATGGAGACCTTTTCCCAGCAATGGGACAGCATAGACTTTTAACAAAAAAAGCGTAGTATGTCACGTTGCTCCACCATCCCTCGAAGCGTTAGGGTTGTCACCAGAGATGGGCAGTGGGTTAAAACCCAAGTCTAGATCTGAAAGCAATAAACCTTTGTAATAATATTATTCAATTTGAACAAAACTCAATGTACAACACATATTTAATTGTAAATAGTTTTAGCCCTTTTTGGGCGTTAATGGGTCTTAATCCAATTAAAACACAGGAATTAACAAAGCGCCGGGTCAAAACCCAGCCGCTTTCCCATCTTATCATATTATTTTTTTGGTTGTACGTATTGGTTGTTAAACATAATTTGAAAAAAAAAAGTTTTCATCACATTATTTTGTTATATTGAAATAACCTTTATTAAATGTTAATGTCCATTGGAAACCAGCTTCACAACCTATTCTTGGCTGTGGCTTTAGCTGAATGAGATCCTTTTGCATACCCCACAATCGAACACACGACAGTACAGTGTTAAGTAGTATAGTAAAGACTGATGTTTAAAATGTTTGCCACGCTGTTTTTTATTACTTTTTGCGTGTTTTTAATGCACTTAATGTTTCTCTTTCACAATGCGGTACTTACTTGCATATTGATAGTTTTACACCTGCATCGCTGGTTAGTATCTATATATAATATAGTAGTGTAGCTCCTTGGCAAAGAGTTCGTCCAGCGAAGTATTGCCATCTCACCGATGTCTGCCGCCAAGTAGTAATACTGTCGGTTTGGAAGGGTCATTTTATGTATCAGGGTATCGGGCGCCGAGGCTGTGTCACTCAAATCTTTGTGATTTAAATCTCTGAGTGGCACTGCAAACTGTTATGGACAGGCGTGTCGCTTACCACCAGGTGCACGATTTGTTCGTCCCGTTACTTAGTATTAAAAAAAACTTGTCCAAAAAAGAAGCGACCATATTGTGGCGGTAAATGATTTACTTTTGTTTCTTGTAATAAAAATATTATTACGATAAACAGAAAATTATTAAAATTAAATAAAATAAGACAAGGATTATATGAAACACCATTTTGTGTACAAAGAGAAAATAGGACTAAGCTTAAATATGTGGAACTTTGTGTACTGTTGACACGCGTACCACACAAACTAGGTACTTCTGCTTTATTTATTAATCTGTGGACGCGTGCGACCCGCACTGTTCAACTAGAATGCACACGTACAATGCGCACTGCTACGTTTGTATGGAGTTACACTACTCATCTTATTATACTATGTTATAAGCTGTGAGATTGTCACGCAACGTACAACACTTTCAAGCGTTCGTGTCAGTAGCTTTATGCACGCATATTCAAATTTTATGGCCTACATGAAAATATAATAATTAATTGATTTCACTAGCTTTCTCACGAAACATTACAGCCATGACTTGCTTTTATTTGTAGATTTTTATACAAAATACCAGCAGTCACCTACAGGATGAGCTTTTCAGTGAAGGACATTTGCAAAGCGATTTAATGATGTGTGTGATGTTCCCAATCCGCAATATACAGCGAGGTATACAGCCCAAACTCTCCCATCGTGAGAGGAGGCCGGTACCCAACAGTGTAGCTATATAAAGGCTAGCTATTAATAGAAGTGCGCCGTGCACAACAGTGATACCTACCTGTTGAGACAGTAAGACAGACCATACGTGTTGAGACAGTTTAACAGAAAAGTGTTTTGTATTTCTGAGCACTCGAGTCGATCGTGGAGCGCACGCACGAAAGGGCAATACTGCCATCCGTGTCATAACTAACGCATCTGCGTTTTGGGTGTTTTATTTAGTTTTTTTTTCAATATCAATAAAGCTGATTTAGCGTATGGCGAGTTATTTAACACGACCCTAGTTTTTAGGATGTATAGGGCCGCCGGGCCTCAGTTCCCGCAATCTACGCGCTTAAAATGAATATGAATAAAATAAGAACAGGTGGAGAAAATTTAACACAGATCCGACGTTGACAAGTGCCGGCGACTGACGGGGCAGCAGACGGCGCGGCGTGTCTTTAAACCGCTTGGCAATTTAAAGTTTTAGGATGAATGTGCATTTAATAGCTATAGAGTTTCATATCCAGTTCTTAGGTTTTCACGATTGTTACACATAGGAGATGAAACTATTTTTCGGATATAAATATTTGTTTGTTCAAAAAACTAATGTTTTGGCTCTTTACAGTAATATGAAATGTTTCTTTGGAAAATTGAAAAATAAAGTATTTAATTAATAACTTTTGTAATAATAGTGAAAAATAGGGTCATTCACATTAATATAAGTATTAGACTTGACTGGTTGATGGCTCTACCATCTCAGTCAACCGTGACCATGGTACCTGTAAAGGGCCCAAAACGTTCGTTTGTTCGAAAAAACAAATATAGTCACACGATTTGGTACCGAAAAAATAGTTTCATTTCCTATAGGTTCCCTATAGTATTTAAAGATAAATATCTTCATATAAAAATTATGTGAAAAACCAAAACACAAATCGACTGTGAACTGGCAACCGGTACTATCTCAGTTTTCTAAAGATTTCACTTTTTAATACCATTTTGTACTATTTCATACTCCGCAGCGTTGCAAGAAATTGCATCTCAGATACATTTAATTTTGGCACCAGAATCTACTTCATTCAACTTGTACAGTCAAGAGCACATCAAGCTTGACTTTGTACTTTTGACCGTTCTTATCGTAAGCGGCATAGAGTTGGATTTAAGTCTTAAGTATAAAGCTTGACGTGCTCTTGACCCTGTACTAACTTCTAACCAGATGCTATATAAATAACAAAAACAATTGTTTTCTTCAGCCTGTAAAATTATCAAAACTGCCAGTATCTAAAGATACCGGTTGCCAATTCACAGTCGAAATGCGTTAGAGTTATGACACGGATGGCAATAACTCTGGCACATGCGCACCACGATCGTCTTAAGTGCTCGGAAATTCAAACCGATTTTCTTTTTAACTGCCTCAACACGGACATATGTAGGCTTAATTCGTTTAAGATGTTATTTTAGCTTGTTTTCAGGATTTGATAATGACCAAGTATATCCTATCATGTTAATTAACACATTGTCTAGTCTATATCATTAGGTGTATAGATATTTTTTATAAGACTATTATTTATCTATATTTAACAAAACAGTTTATCGCGTTTCTCCGCCTTAACAATAAAACTGACACTAAATAAGACATATCATATAAATCGCTTATAACGGTTGTAGAGTTAAAAATTAAGATTGCGTTAGTTTTGATAAGGGAGACAGAACAGGTCAAAAAATAATAAAAATATTTGCTACCCCTGGGCATTCGAATCGTAGAAGGCAAAGTAAACGCATTGCAATGAGTGGTATAGAGTACGGGGCGCGCCGATGACACGAATACTAACCTTACGACATTACGAACATTTTATCACAAGCATCACTGCGTGGTGTAGAAAATTTATCGCTTTGTGTATCGTCGTATAACATCTTAAGATATTTTAGTAGCAGTAGAGCATCGGACTCGTAACATAAATATATACCATAATATATTCACATTTACACAATTTTCTTGCTTAGTTCTAAAATATATGTTTTGAATTTAGAGTTTTTTCGCTTTCCATTTTAGAGTCACCGAGGATCGTCCCCAGCAATACGTACATTTGCTCCCGACGGCCGAACCCTCGAAGCTGGTGGTACAGGTGTGCCTCGATCTCCTTCACCCCTCCGAGCGGCTTCCCTGGACGTCCGAGCGGCTCCCCTGGCGCATGGGTCCCTGGCTTCCCTGGCCGACTCGCCGGCCTCTCCAAATCCAAGACATTTACCCCCACGATGCCTGTCTCCTCTACTCATGCCGCCAAGGTAAGAATTTCTCATATCTTTATAACTTATGATAGTTCTTGAAGGACACAGGTAAAAAACTAAATTAGTACCTACATATTTAAACAGTTGAACACGAGTTTAATACAACGGATAATGAAATAACTTCAAGACATCAAGTACAAGTAAATTTACTTATATCACTGCGTTTAAACTACACGATTTTTATTTCTGGGTTATCATTATCATTTTTACCCATTGAGTTTATATTTTTACCTCACTAGCTATCAAAAGGCTTTCTTTCTCGATTAGAAATCGGCGCGCAAAAGCGTTTTTTGTACGCGCTAATTTTGAAATGAATTTTTTTGAAATTCAAAAATGACGATGGACTGTGGTGCACCTAACTTTTTTTTTCGATGAAAAAAAACATAATCGTCACGTTCAACTACGCGATTTGTCGTATGTTATTTATGTAATAAAAATCCGTTGGCTTGGAATAATAACGCATAGAAACCTAGTCCGCACACGCTAAGTAAGTGAAATTGAAACGCTCCCAATGGGCCTACACGAGCGGGCGAGCCGTCAGTGCTCAAGGTCAGCTTGCACCGCGAACAGCTCCAGAATTTTAGCTAAAAATGACGAAATGTGCGGTAAATGAGTGTAAAAATGCGTCAGACAAACATAAACTAGATACTAACATCACATTCCACAAGGGAGTAACGCGTTTCAACTTGTATTTTTATATAAATATTCACTAAAACCGAAAATTAACGTACTACTAAAACTAGCCTACATGAATTTGATTTTTGCCTCACTTGTGACAGTTCGTTTGATATGAAACTATCATTCTATGCGTTATTATTCTAAGTCCGTTGGTATGTTTTATTCTTATTAATTATTATTGTTGACTTTAAATTGACAACGATTCTCTGACGATCTGATTTGTTATACTTCTATTGTTTTTCTTTCATCTACCATTTTTCTCGCTATAGTGAGGTGAAAAGTTGTGCGTTTCACTCGGCAGCTAAGTTGTTTTGCGTCTCGTGGCTTGTGACCTTCAGGAGTCTATTTTTGGACCACGAGGGAAGCGAGTCTTTTGCTTGCTCTGGTTTTAATACAAGCACTTGCGTTAAACAACAACTTTGCAGCCTTGCATAAGAAATAGCCATTTCTAATTGGTTCTCACATAAAAACATGAAAAAACTTTCTTAAAACAAAAAAACTTTGATTTTGTGGTCAGGACAATGAAAAATTGAAATTTGCGTATCATTAAGGAGACGTATAAATATTCAAATTCCTCTTTATTTAAAGACAATAATATAATATAATAATCTCAGTACAGAGTACTAAAAAACCGACCTCACAAGTCATTCATCCCCTAGTTTGTCACTCTTAGAGGTGCAATATTTTCTTCACATTTGAATGGGACTACTAGCGAGATACCCTCTTTCCAACAAAAAAAGAATCATCAAAATGGGTTGAGTTATCGCGTAACATTCACAAAAAAATATACTGTCGAATTGAGAACCTCCTTCTTTTTTGAAGTTGGTTAAATAAAGGAAGATTATATTTCCAATCAATGGTATATTTCAACCAAAATTAGAAATGTATAGATTTTCGAGAGTATGTAAATACGACCCTGTAGCTATATACATAAGCAGCTATGGATATACCATTGTGATTGTGACAATCACTGTAATAGGAAAGTTTCGTATACGCTTTTCTACATACTATCAAACCAGAAACAAAAAAAGTTCAATATTTGGCCGCCATTGAAAAATATTATAAAACTAAATTTAAAATTAACGTAACGAACTAGTATGATACTAGGCGAGCTTGTGGAAATGAGTATGTAAGTATGATGTGTATGACCAAAAGTAAACAACTAATGGTAAAGGAAAAAATAGACATTTCTTGCCAATTATACTTAATAATTTAGATTGTTTGAGAGGCAGAGAATTGTTACGGAATTCGTTTTGAAGACAAAATTAAAATTTATACTTCTTGAAAGCATGTAAATTTAGTTAAAGTCTACACTGGTTTTGTCAAAGGTTTTCGTAGTGAGGAATACGCAAATTAATAAAAGAACGTTTTGTGATTTTGAGTATAACCTCGCCAACTAACTACTTTCGCAGTTTGGTGAGAAATTGTATTATGTTTTCTTGTATGAAATAAATAAATAGAACCTTATTGAACATTTGCTTTGAGTTTCTCTGAAGGATAAGATCCGAAATGAGGTTATCCGACAGAGAACCACGATCCTCGACATAGCTGGTAGGATAAGCAAGCTGAAGTGGCTTATGGCAGTGGGCTGGTCATATCTGTCGAAGTATCGATAACCTATTCTTAAGTGGAGTCCACGGATTGTAGGACGCCCTCTGCCAGGTGGAGTGACGATTTGCCAAAGGCTGCTAGCAGCAGATGGATGAGACAAGCTGAGGGCCGGACGTAATGGCGCACTTGGGAGAGGCGAATATTGATGATGTTACATAGTGAAAGAATCAGTAAATAATTATATACTTATTTCATACTATGACATCTCTCGCCAGGACTGGTAGCTGTAAAGGTACTAACTGGGTGATCAATTTTTCATAGATTTCTCATAGATTTCTCATAAATACAAAGACACGACGCAAGCACGTAGAAAAATTCGTGAGGTCCGTTGGTTCGTTCCGTGGCTTAGTTGGTATAGCGTCTAACACGGTATGCAAGAGGACCTCGGTTCGAATCCGACCGGATCGAAGGAATTTTTTCTGAGTGTTCGATCTTTGTATTAACAATTATAACAAACTAGTGGAGTAATTTCACAAAAAATAATTGAATATCAATTCAATAAAAATTTAATTAATATATACTTATTTATTAGATCCATATATGCACGCCCTTGTGATTTTTAATCGGACGTTGTACGTTTTGTTTTCACTCGGACCGCTGACACGAAAACGTTTCAAATTATTGAAAAATAAATGAAGTACAATAAACGAACCTATCACACAAAACATCACACCCTGCCATCACATGCATTGATATGATTACACGCAAATTGAGAGCAGAACGTGTCTGTTTGGAGTGAGGATGGCGCAAATTGAGTTTGCCCCAATTTACCGCCCCTGCTGTCCGCCTCGCTCAGATTCACTCCATATCAGTAACAATCTGTCGTCAATTTATTATTTACTATATCGAACAAGTCTAGTTATCTCTATATTGAGCTTTGAAATCTTCCAGAAAGATCTTTTCAAAACACAATTGGAATCAATATTCTTCAAATTGAACAGTAATTACACTATAGTTCCCTAGTTCCCTAGTGTGGTAGCCACCAGTACCTAATCAATGCATTCTGAACAAAACTGTTTTTAGCTTAAGTGGGGATATTGACCTTCATTGTAATCACCTAAACTAACTAAAGATATTTGTATTTGAATAATAATAATAATATAATAATAACGCACATACTCAACATAGCTCCGCACTAGGAAAACCCTGTGTCACTGGTGCCATGGACACACACATAGAAAACCATAAATTACACCCAAACTCACGAGAGAAATAAATGTAGGCTACACAAATATTTCTCCCGGCCCGCGAATCAAACCCGGGGATCTCTGCGTGTCAGTCCGATATGGTAACCGTTCGGCCACGGAGGCAGTTAAATGTATACAATCTGTCCGGAGGTGAAGTAAAAACATTTTATGGGACTTCAGGCTGCCTTTCCACAAGAGATGTGCGACGTAGCGAAGCAGTGTGCGAGGAAAAAATCCACCAATAGGATTACTTCGTTTTCCTAGCCTCGCTTAGCGCATATCCGGTAGGAAAGGGTTAGGTGGAGCTAAGTATTTGTACATCACACCGCCTCAGTGAGGTAACAGCCCTGGTTTACATCCAGACGGATCAAAGGAATATTTCTTTGTATTGGAGCTATGACTAACCATGGCAGGTAGTCGTTTAAATTTGACACTTAAGGCTGTCTCCGATTGGTGCGATGCTAATCTTGTCAAATTTAATGCTACCAAAACGCAGCCTTTCACCTGACTCCGACTTAACGTGATGTATCCTTACCGATAGCCGACCGTCTCCAGCCACTTAGAATGAACCTTTCGTCCAACCTGAACTTCGGCAGATACATTGAATCCGTGTCTAAAAATGCAGCCAGGAAGCTTGGCATCCTTTCCAAGGTTAGGCGTTACTTCACACCGAGACAGTTGCTTCAGCTGTACCAAGCACAAGTCCGGTCATGTACGGAGTACTGCTGCCACTTATGGGATGGCTCTGCTAAATACATTTTGGCCACCTTGGATTTAATAGACAAGCGTGTCAGGCGAAGCTGAAGAACCTTGAATACCGCCGTAAAGTTGCCTGCTTATCGGTATTCTACAGGATATATCACGGAGAGTGTGCGATGGAATTGCAAAATTTGATTCCGTCTTCCCTTTTACATCATCGGGGGACTAGACGTGCGCTGGGATTCCACCTCTATGTTGTGGATATTCCAAGGATTCACACGAAGCGTTTCGCTTCCACATTTATGTGGCGAGCGGTTAGAGAGAGGAATTCCCTGCCTACGGACTTGTTCCCCGAACGCTATAACTTGGACCTTTTCAAGGTGAGAGTGAATAGGCATTATTTAGGTGTGCATCAGGTGAGATGGAGGTCAAATGCGGACTTATTTTTTTATTAAAAAAAAGCTTTGTATAATTATAACAAACTAGTATAGTAATATCACAAAAAATAATTGCATATCAAGGTCGTAAAATATTCAATAAAAACAAATGTTGCAATTTGGACAATTTGCGACTAAAACACGCCATATGAGGATTGGTTCCATCACATGGAAACATCCCTTACGTATTTATACACCCACTAACTAAGTTCTCATATTCAGACACAGGCTGGCTAAATTTTAGTGTCATTTTACTAGCAGTAGAACTCCTTGTGAAAGGGCTCGTCCGGGTAAAATGCCGCCTTAATTATTTCTGCCGCCAAGCAATAGTATTACGTTTCGGTTTTGAAGGGTAAAGACTCTGGTGAAATTACAGGCACAACGGACTTGTCAAAAATTTCTCAAGGTGACAGGCGCAGTGGCAGTGTCTCTCAGATCTTTGTGATTTAAGGCTCAGGCGTGTCGCTTAACACCAGGCGCAGGACTTGTTCGTCCTGTCACGTGTTATCATAAAAAAAACGCTAAGAAAGTAAATAAACGAAAACAGCAACAATATAAGAAAATATGAATAAAAAAGAAAAGTACTTCATTTCGCAATTTTACAGGTTTTTGAAAACCGCATGCGTTTTTTACCCCCGACTCAAAAAGAGGATAGTTATAAGTTTAAAGCCTGTGTATATGTATTAGTGATTATATTATATATCCATACAATTTTACTCAGCTTTCAAAAGTGAACATAATCGTCTTACTTTTTAATCGATTTAAAAAAGGAGGAGGTTCTCAATTAGATTGTATTTTTTGTACGCGATTACTAGTTTGTGAACCGATTTTCATAATTCTTTTTCTGGAGGAAAGAGGGTACCTCAGTACTGGTCCCATTTAAATTTGAAGAAAATATTCCACAAATAGTGGATGAATCCGGTTACCGGAAAGTGCTCACTTTCCGTTAACTAATCTCAATAAAACTTGGCAAATGTAACTAGATGCTATTACACGAACTTTTTAGATTCGTTTTTTTTTAATAAAAAACTTCTAATTGTTAACATCCGACTCAAAGAGACAGGTTGTTAAAATTTGAAGCCTTTATCTGTGTATTTGTGTGTCTGTGCGTTCCATCGCAGCTCCCAAACGAATAGACTAAACGCCAATCGAGTTTTTTTTTATAATGAAGGCTAATTTAATGATTCTTTGGTTCTTTGGTAAACATAGCTGTTTGAAAGTTACCCAGCTCTTTTCACAGTCAGTGAGATCTCAGTAACGATCTCTATGTACTAGCGTATACTAGATGCGGCGTTCCATACGCACACCGTTTCACTGATGTGCGGTTCCGGCACAACACTTCATTTAGTTGGTTGTCAAACATTCAATATGGCGGACGCAGATGCGGACCTCTTTGAAAATTATCTACGTGTATTTTACATCTACATTATTTAATTTTATTGTCAATAAAATTAATCATAGTTACGCCTTTAAATTGTTATTAGGGTGCGTACAGATCTGGCGAACGCGCTGCATGTGCGCTGCGCGCATGTTGCATGCGTGCATGCTGCATGCGTGCAGTTAAATACATATTACGCGAGACGCGAACAGATAGCACTACATAATGCACGTGTGCAACTCGCAAGCCTTTCGTAAACAGGCGAATTCGCCAGATCTGTACGCACCCTTACTATACATGCGGACAGAGTGCATATTTCCTACGTAGATAGATATGTTTCCTATGCAATTTAAATTTTAGTTTAAAAACATGCCCAACACATAACATTGTATTGTCGACCAATTTAGCTGCTCTAATGCCTCTAAATACACTATTTCCAGACGGATAGACCGGAGCAATTCTCTTGTAGAGAGTAGCAGTGGTTTAGGTCCCCTCAGCCCTGGTGCTGGGACCGCAATTAGCGCTCTGGGGGCCCTGCAACCAGACCTGTACACGAAGCGTGAGGCCCCATTGGTCATCGAGCTGGAGGGCGCTGGGCCATCGCTCGGAAGAATCCACCTTCGCTTGAAATACGACTTCGACAGATCTGACTTGGAAGTGCATCTTATTGAAGGTACGTGTTTCTTTGTGTCACTATTACTTATGGCAAATCAAAGGGTTACCTCGGCATGTACTACGATACCGCGTATTAGATTTTCGCGATTGTTACACATAGGAAATGAAACTATTTTTCCGGATTTAAATCGCGTATATTTGTTTTTTTTAAACAAACCGACGTTTGTTTGAAAAAACAAATATACGCGGTTTAAATCCGGAAAAATAGTTTCATTTCCTATGTAAGATAAGATAAGATAAAATAAATTTATTTCAATATATGACTTAATCTAATACAATTATAATGAAAACAATGTAATTGAAGATAAAATATTAAAATAAACAGTAATAAACAAAACAAAAAAAAATCTAAATTATATAAAATAATCATGGTAAAATTAAACATTTTAATCTTAGTGCCTAATAGTGCAATTGCGATGCCTAAACTAAGTACATGTGTACCTGTATTTTAGGCATAATAGTGCATTTTTCATAACAAAGCTTAAAAAAAAATAAAGATTTTATAAATTTAACAAATAAAAGATAAGTAGTTATAATAGTTACAATTTATAAAAGTTAAGTAGTTAAACATTACTTATTATATAAATATAAATTATGAAATAACTTCCAACAAGTCCTCGGTATCATTGTAGGTTTTACTCTTAAGCCAAAGTTTGACGGTCTTTTTACATTCAGTTTTATTCATATGAAAATAATGCAAAGTACAATTTATTTTAAAATAAAGGAATGTGCCAAGGAAGCAGAAGAATCTATGTGAGTGTGCTGTGCGGAGTTGTGTACGAGATGAAAAGGGATCGTGTCGTCTTTGCTTAGTTACAGTCATGTAATCATATGGAGTAATTGAGTGCTTTTTCAAAATTATTTGCAGGATAAACAGTTGCCGAACAGATAGAACATCGCACTCGTTTAGTAATTTGTGGGTTGGGTAATCGAAAGGACGAAAGTTGATCACTTTAAGAACAGCTCTCTGCGCTCTTTCCAGGTGTATCAGAGTGGTCTTATGTGCACCGCCCCAGGATGTAACGCAGTAAAGCAACAGTGATTGACAAAGGGCTAAATAAACTGATTTGAGAAGGGCGCTGCTAGCCGAGTATCTTAAATTTTTAAAAACATAAATCAATTTTCGAACTCTAGAAGTTAGCGCCACTATATGCTGTTTGAAATTTAGATGCTGGTCAATTATGACACCTAAATATTTAATATTGCTTGTGCTGTCCAGTTTTGAGCAAGTACAGAGGCATCCAAGAGATCGAGGGCCAACACAATTGTGAACTACTATTGAGTAAGCATTCTCAACAGGTTGTGAGGAAATATTGTAGGAGAAAGTGATGTATTTAGTTTTGGTAGTATTAAGTGTCAGGGCATTTGCTCTAAGCCAGTCGGTTACCGAGTTAAAACCAAATTGAGCTTGTGTAAAGATTTCATTCCAACTTGGGGCACTGAATAATAGGACTGTGTCATCAGCATGAGATATGATCTTGCCACCAGAGAGGGGGAGAGCGCATAGTTGATTAATATAGACAAGGAATAAGATAGTCCCTTCATGCTTCCTTGGGGAACACCATATTCAACCGGTAATTCAGCACTCGTTATTTTGTCAATAGTCACGCGCTGTTTTCTGTCAGAAAGATAGTCCTGTCAAAGTTTGAGCTGTATTCCTCTAATTCCAAGTGCTTCTAACTTGTTTAAAAGTATTGGTATATTTACAGTGTCAAAAGCTTTTGCGAGGTCAAGGAATATAGCCAAACATTTATTCCTCAAGTCCAAATTTCTTACGATGTATTCCGTCAGCTCATCGACTGCGTCGTTTGTCGATAGTCCTTGTCTGAACCCAAATTGGGACGTCGAGAGAAGTTTCTTCGTTTCTAAATAGTTAACAAGCCTTTTGTAAATTATTTTTTCTAGTATTTTAGAGAGAGATGGTAATATGGCAATTGGTCGGTAATTGTTAATATTGCTCTTATCACCGCTTTTGTAAATAGGTTTTACAAGGGCTGTTTTTAGTACTTTGGGAAACGTTCCTGTGGATAGACAGAGATTAAATATGTAAGTCAGGGGTGAAATTAAATGTAATCTATTTTGTTTAATGAAAGAACAAGGTATTTTGTCAATTCCTGTCGCACAGTCATTTCTTAAAGTCATAATAATATTTTCAATTTCGAGTTCGTCAGTGTTGTTTAAGACAAACGAGTGCAGTTGTGAGGCGCGTGACGAGGTCATGGTTGTAGTTGAAAGCGGAAGGTTTATTTCCGCTTTTTCAGCTAAAAGTTTTCCTACACTAGTAAAGAATTCATTTGCTGCGTTAACAGTTTGCACTGGATTGTCTGCATTTACAATTAATTGTTGAGCGGACAATTTCGAGTTAGTCATGTTCGTGATATTTTTGATGACTTTCCATAATCTTTTATATTCTTTTATATTTAATCGTTTGTGCTGTGGTAGAGAAGGAAGGCGGCGCTCTAGGCGCCCTCATAATCAGTATTACTTACGTGTCTCGCTATTGCGCTCTTCCTAGCAGGACATTGTTCATCTCCTGTTTTATGATTACCTGGTTTGTTAAAGCGTACACAGGTGGCGCACTTCGCGGGTTCCGCGTGCTTATTACACTCCTTGATGGAGTGGCCTGCGCCGCCGCAGTGGCCGCACGTGGGCTCTGTATCCCGGCAGAACTTTGCTGAGTGTCCATACTGTTGGCATTTGTAACATCTAGTTACGCGTGTGTAATCTCGAACCGCACATGAAGACCAGTTAATGTAGACACGTTGCTGTTCTATGAGTGTCCTTCGAATGGGAGCACACACTTCTAGCACATAGTTACAGGTAGCCTCGTCCTTTTTGCCTGACTTATGACTAAATTTAATTGCGCTCTCTATGTTGCTTTTATTTAAGCTAGGATGTTTCTCCGACAAATTTTGATCATACAAGCAGTCAAATAATTCCTTATTTGACATGCCAGAGGGAACACCCAATAATATTATCTTTGGCCGTTTTTTGTTCGCATCTTCTAATTTCAGGCCTGATTTTTTCAGTTGTTCAGACTGTTTGAGCTTTAGTATGTCTTCCTTACTCTCCGTGCTTATAATAACTCCTCCACATTTTGTTTTACGCATACCGCTGATATGAAGTTTCAATTCTTCAGGCTTAATTAGATTCTGAACAATTTTTCTAGTGTCATCGCTCGACGCATCTTTATTGGGTGGGTAAATAGCAATACTGTTCGATGGACATACTGAGGGCAAACCACTCTTCCTAACTATATCCGCAAAAGACTGGGTTGATGCTCTGGGGCCTGACTGTACACAAGATTTTAAGTCTTTTAATTGGGCACCAACATTGACTTGTTCTTTTAATGTGCTGATCAAAGAATTGGCTGAAATATATTTTTGTTTTAGGGACTGATATTGCACCGCCAATTGAGAGACACCTCCAAGTACTGACCTGCTAATGTTGCTAATTTTTAGCTTCTGCTCCGTATTCAGTTTCCCATCTCCAGAAATAGTGCAGATGTCATTCAGGCATTGTTCTATTTGACTCATCCATCTCTGAATTTCATGAGTCGAGACCGCGTCTATAGTCAGTGCAGGCGTAGAAGGGGTGAGGGCTGAAGCTTGAGCTGGGGATGGTTCCAATTCCACGTGCCGTCTAACGGGAGGTGGGCTACGACTCGTCATCGTACTTCTGTTAAACGGGCTACTCATTCTTCATAATTTGAAAGAAGCACAAGGTCACACGTAGCATCACAAAACACAAAGTCCGAAAAGCGCTGATACAGCGGCGACACAGTTACAGTTTTATTATTTATTAAATTTAAATTTTATAATGCTAGCAGACACGTCCGTCTCTGCAGCGTGCCAATATATATTGTGAATGTACTATGATATTTCGGAGAAGAAATGGTGTAAATGGCCATTTTGATCGACAATTAGGTACTTATTGATGTAGTTGGGTAAAAAAAGCCGCAGTTGTTTCCCCTACCGCCTCTTATGCGCGGGCCACATCGCGAATGAAGCTAAGCTACCTAGAGGGAGCAGAGGAAAAATTCCTAATCTTCGATTTAATTTTAGAGGGGTATATCCACGATAAAGTTAAAAATAAAATATTGTATGAGTAACTACACGATATATTCAAGCATAGACACTAATCAGAAACATAAAACAATAAAGTTTCCTCGATAGATAAAAATCACGAAATGGCCTCTAATTTTCACATTTTTTCGATTTATCCTCGAAATGCTACAGGTTATTAGGACATAAGTTAGATAATTAATTATATTTATGCATGATCGACAACTGTCACTACGGATTTTTTTTTTAATCCCTTTAGTTTTAGAGTTATTCCGCTAAAACGAATTTGGTACTTTTAATGCGCAAAATTCAACATCTCCTGTCGCATGTCACGCGAACTTCAGGCATATATTTGTTTCACAAATTAGGGCGGAGCCAACGTCAAAACTTTTTTGGCATGCACCCTCTTAACTCACGGAGCCCGGGGCATCTTTTCATACTTCGGTTCACGCCGCGAACTAAGCTAACCGAGCTAACTAAACTAACCCAATGATCCCGCTAGATATGTAAAATATGTCGCCCTTCTACCGACATTCACCCCCGCTCGTATCCATATCCATCCATCACTACTTACTACGTATATTTTAGCTTAGTTTTGCATGTAACTACGCGAGTTAAGCTAGCTAGATTAGCTTAGCTGGCATAGTTATAATAATAATAATATCAATAATAATAATAATAACAAGCTCGCTCTCAAGTACGGACTAGTGCAACAGAGGTTGCCATATTACAAGTATTCACCGGAGCCAATACTCGAAGATGACCGCACCAAAATCTATTGGCATCGATCTATTATCACGACCAGGACTATTCTTGCGAATAAGCCTGATATTGTGATATTGGATCGATCGCAGTCGAGGGTATTTCTTGTGGACGTCACCATCCCGCATGACGAGGGTCTCGTGAAAGCTGAAACCGAGAAACGCCGGAAGTA